ATTAATTGACGTCTACTTTCTTACAGATCAGCAATAACTATTTTTCCTCAACGAACCGACGGCAAACACGACTATCGAGTATGGAATGCACAATTGATCAGTTATGCTGGATACCGCCAATCTGATGGATCTATCATAGGTAAGAAATAAACCAGTTTGTTTGCCTCAATTTAATTGCGCAATTTCATGTCTTCCGTAAGTCAATCATCAAGCAATGATCAAGATTGTTTTCGTTCTTAGGAGATCCGCTAAATGCGGAATTTACTGAAGTCTGCCAGAAACTGGGCTGGAAAGGTAAAGGATCCAGATGGGATATTTTGCCGCTAGTAGTGTCTGCGAATGGWCACGATCCGGATTATTTCGATATACCGAAGGAATACGTTCTAGAAGTGTCACTTACGCATCCGCAGTAAGTAGTCCTTACTCTTTTCCTCCCTATSATAARAATAAGAAAAACAGCTCTTAGCAAATAAGTAAATGCGGGACATCTATTAACAAAACGTTTAGTGATAACACKTTTTTCGTCACCACATGCGAATTTCCATAAACTAATTCAARAACATTTCGGAATGTTTGCAAKTTGAGTTAACCAGTATTTTTCCAATTCTCAAACTAAATTTCTATTACGAAAAAGCAATTGTTCGGAATGACAATGGGTCAAGAATAGGAAATGAACAAATGTCACCTTGTCCTTGCAAATCTCGTCTACTTCACATGTCTCAGAAATGTTCCATGTAACGAATTAATGTAAATCTGTGAACTTATAGTTCGTGCATTTAATATGTATCTATGGATTGATCCATTACTTCTGCTATAGAGCGAGATGAACGTTTCCGATGAATTAAAGCAAGTTAAGTTGCCACAAAATGTCTATATAGAGGTTTTCTCTAAAGTATGTCTTCAGGTAGCTGAAATATCTTGCAAAATATGTCTTATACAGGTTGGAAGTGAGTTTAGAAATGCTATGGTGCTTTCTCTTTGTTTCTGGGTTAAGTTGTTGTTACCGTTCTAAAGTTGGCAGTATTCCGTAAGAGCAACGTGTTTTCCTAACAGTCTTAGACCTGAATGAATCATTTAAAAATACCAATACAATAAAATATAATAGTATTACTAAATTATTAATGAACGAATTTTATTAATAGTTTTCTTGTGCATTCTTTTTAATAGCAAACTTGTGAAATTAAAAAATAATAATATTGAGGTTTTTGCGGAAATTTTGAAATTGATTTGAACATTTATTGTCTTGCCACAATGTGATTTTTGTTAGACAACCAAACGCGTGAAAAGTATGAGCATATCCTAACACCGATAATTCAAACCCCACTTGGAATTAGTTGACTTTTAGATGGTTATTGAATGACCATCAGTAAAATCAGACGTTTGGTTGTACTGCAAAGTGGACCAAACGTGAGGACAGCATGGTCCTTGATCATTCTAAAACATAAATTTTAAATAAGTAATTAAGTTGTTTGCAAAATTACTTTTTGTTACCCGCTTTTTAACCCGTAGATATTTAGGTTTTTACCGATAAATTAAAGAAAAACATACAAAAAACTAACGTTATTTTTAGTAAACAGTAAACATTCCAACATTACTTTAATTCATGAATAAACATTTTACCTGCAATTTATTCAGCTTGAACTTTTGTAGTACTTTACTTATATTATTGGATTATAATAATACACAATAAAAACTTCATAGGTCTTTGAATATCTCTTAAATACTCCTAATGCTAGAAAAATTTTCATACTTTTACTCAATTTGTTTATCGTGTATAATAACAAATCTATTTGTAAGTTGATATTTTACTGTATAAATATCCAGTTCTCATTGTCAATTTTTGAGTAATTTTTGTCTAATTTTGAGTGTTTGCTATTTGTCGCTCTATCAATTAATCGTTCGATCCTGCCTACTTTTTCCTTACTGTTCGTTTCATTTCTTTAATGACAAGCTTACTTGATCGAAAAGCAACATAATTCAATTCTCATTTAAGCTGCTGACAGGTGTAATAGATACGTTTGGAAATACCTGATACAATATAATATTTCTTTATAGGAATAGATACTAGTAAAGTGCTATTCAAGAAATGTCTTTAAAATTAGTTTTGTTGTTTGACTTCGCCAAGGTCTGACAAATTTCTATACATTGATGCTCATTTTTTTAACACCCTATATGATAAAAAAATAAACGTTATTTTTAGATAATCTGAATCCTGAGTTCGAAGCAGATACTCTTATTTCGCATCAACAAAGTAAACGTTTTCCATTAATCGCGGATTACTTAATTAAAATAAATATTATAATGACATGGAGCCTACAAACAAAGTGACTTATTTTTGTATCACAATTATTTATAATGTGAACATTGCTATAATTGAACAAATTGAAAAACAAGAGTATAAAAATATTTTTGCGTCAAAATAAAGAAGTAAATCTTATTTTATCTCGGAGAATTGCCTATTGACATGGTACTCGTTTACTTTTGCTACAATTCTCACAAATATCTGATTGTTGCACCACAACTCACAGAATGGTTTCACAGAAAATTAATCCGTTTACCTTATGAAACAAAAATGTTTTGATTCTTTAAAACCAAATGCAGGAAATCTAAAAAAGGCACTGCTGCATTAACTTATCATTTGATAAATCCAAAATGTTCACGTTCATTAGTTGGACTCAATTTTTTGTTGTTCTAGTCAGTTTCTGCACTCAAGTCATTTAAAGGGAGCAAAAAGTTCTGCTAGAACTTATATTGCTTAAACCTAGGTGAAGAAATTAAAGATATAACTGCCACCCAAGAACGTTCAGAGCAACGTTTTTCAATTGGCCCGCTTCAAAATCATTGGACGAATTCTGATTATAGTTTCGACGTTTTGAAGAAATTCATCAAAAAATGAGTCTCGTATTAATTGGATTTTCAAAATAAATTTGTTACTTTTAGCCAATTGAAATGTTTTCTGTGCAAAACTCATCGATCGTCATACCATAGCAATGAGCTGAGAATTCGGTTTCAGCTAATAGCCAAGTTCAGTATGATTCAATTAATAATTTACAAATTCAGCCTATTATTTAAAAAATTGACAAAGTTTGTCTAGATCGTGTTGCTAACATTTCAATTTTTACTTAACTAGACCTTAGACAATTGTTTGCTTAACTCATTTAGCATTTAAATATAAAAGTTTTCGTCGCCTTAAAACCGCATGTATTTTTTTGAGTTTTGTGGATAAGTTCTAAGGTTGTGAACCCACCTGCCAAAAATGAAAAGGCATTTAAAATATTTTTATAACATTATTTGACATGCTTTATTCAAACTATTCAGAATTTAATTGATACCATGAGATGTTCAAAATAATTTATTATTCCACTTACTCTAATATTAAGCAACTGTGCAACTGAGAACGACAATTATGCTAGATTTATTAAGAATGAGAAATATATAACAAAAGAATTCATCTTTCTTGATGGATTAAAAATGTACGGTTCATGGAGGAATGCATGATACTCGACTGCACTTGGTAGCAGTTACAATTGAAATATGCTATATATTTATATTAACGAAATAAATATTAGACAGACTGAAATTTCATTTGTTTGTAAAAAAATGAATCCGCCTCAACAATATAGAACTTATCTGAAATTTCATGTGTATGTTGTATGTACAATAAAACTAAAAGTATAATTATTATTATTTTTACGATGAAATGTCAATTTTAGTTGGAATTAATATTTTCCAAGATAACAAATAAACAGGTGTTATTTCGTACTATAGTATATAAATGGTTATTAATTTCCATTCATTTCAGAACTATGAAGAAACTTTATCAATAAAAAGAAAATCGGTTGAATTGTTTTTACTTCCCACGATATTTTCTGATTATTGCAAGAGTTCTGTATTTACCGAATGATTCATTTGCTAATATTAAATGAATTCAGTTGCTGCTTATGATTGCTGATTAACCATCTCTGAAGATGTTAGTGCATTCGATCGATGCATAGGTGCAAGCAAACCCACCATGCTACTAAGGCCAGAAAGGTCAACATTTCTTTTGGCGTTTAACGTCTGTAAATGTTCTTGAAGCTAAAGAAATGCATATTGTAACAGCTTAATTCACTGTAATCTACCGAATATTTCTGAGTTTATTACATTTAGACCAACGGTTGTTTTGCTGTAACTGAAAAAACAAATTCCTTTTGATGGGAGCTTTTGAATTAATTCTGTTTCAGCATCTTTGCATCCCGAGACCCTTGTTTGAGTCCTTTGCTTGTTCGAACGAATTAAAGGAAATTCGATGAATATATTTTACGCACAAATGTCTCTTCTCAGCTCCCGTTTTTCTGTTCAAGATGGTATGAGGTATAATGAATGAATGAATAATACTATTTAATCGGCCTTAAAAAAATATAAATATTAATGAGTAGGCGATCTCCGATTATTCAAAATTGCTTGTATAACTAATTAATTCGAAAATGGTAAAACATCTTAAATTGCAAACTTAATTATTAAAATAATTTGATAAAATATCCAATTAAAACAGAGTAATTGAGCCAGACAATAACTTGGTTTGTAAACATATTGTGTCGAAACAACTAATAATAAAAGCAATATTGGCTTATTGATGTTTTTTTGCATTTTGGTTGATATAGTTTTTCATTTAAATATTGAACATTCAATTTAATTTGGTTTCCGGTGTTTAGAAACGTTTTTTTCGAGCTTAACTCACCTTATAGTGTATATATGCTGTTACTAGTTAAGCGTGGCGAAATTAATTTAGTGTTAAATGCCCTTAGGTAATCAAGGGCCCTCGCCCTAGACCAACTATGCAAAAAATGCTAAATTCCAACTACCCAATCTCGCTTTAATCAGTGTGTTGGTTAAATTTATGGAGTGTTTGGAGGCAGTGGGTTTTTGGAAGTTGTAGAGCTAAACAACAGATGCAAGACGAAATGTTGCTTAGGCTCTTTCTGTTTGAAATAGTTGAAATAAAAAAAAACGATATTCCTAGGTTTTTTTTAAATTTTAGTATCGTCATTAATATCGATTGCTTAAAAAATGCAAGGGCAGAAAGATATTATCGATTTCTTTTATTTCTTAAATATTTGTTTTCTAGATCTTTATTAATGGTGCTGGTATGGAGTTATTTTAATTGCTCTGAATTTGGTTTCTCCAATTGTTGGTGCTTGGTTAATAATATTAAACAGCTTTTGCTCAATTGTGAAACAAGGTTTTGTAACTTTTTTCAAATTTTTACTTTGCAAGTCAGTTCTATGTTCTACTGTATTGAAAATTATAATTTTTTTAAAGCAAAGTGGGCTTAATGAACGAGCGCTTTGGGGATGGAACATCAGACGGGTCGGTATTATTTGCGCTGAATATTAAATATCTAAAAACAATATCCTCATTTGCAACTGCTTACTTTTCGTATATTAAAAGTGGTTTTTGCTCATTTGAAATTGATTGTTCTTACTTTCAACGTGGCGAAGTAATAAAAGCGGTCGTAAGTGTTTTCCACTTGTTTTCATTTCTTTGAACTCTTCACGTTTCGGGTTTGGAAAATGAAAACATTAAAAGTGGCAGCTCTAATTTGATTCCCATTTAAAAAATGAGATGCCTCAAAAAACCTCGTGTTATTAAGTGAGTGCATAATGCTGAAATGAAGAGTAATGTAAATCCATATTTTCCATTTATAAACACGTTATGCAACATATGCAAAAGAAATATTGCAATATCTTGTTGCGGTTCCCGACTAAGCCGAATTTTCTTTTATCCAACAAAATCCCTAAGAAGCTAATTTCAAGGAAGCCTGTTGACTGACATATCATAGTAAAGCTAGAAATATGTTTCTCTAGGAACTGACCGCAACATCCCAAGGGAAATAAAGATGGCTTTTCACGAAACTTTCTTACAAGACGCAATCATATAAGCGGTGCAATATGATACTTTTAAGGATCTTTCAAGAGCCAGTTAGTGGATGAGATATAAATGAAATAATACAGAGCCCGCCTGCGAAACCCTCTTTCAAAACATATGTAAATTTATGATGTAATTTTGTGTGATTGTAATTATTTGCTTGTGCCTATTCAGAATGCTGAATATGCTTATTTAGCTGTATTTAGTTCGAATTCGCTTCAGCGCAGATTCATTCTGATTCCAGTAACCTATTTTATAATGCTGTTACTAGCTAGAATGTAAAATATGCTTAATTATGTATAACATAATTTTCATATTGAAAATATATTATATAAAGTCTAATAAAGTTTACTAAAAGTGATATTTTTACACATGAAAGCCAGAGCACCAGACCTTTCGCTACCACTTGTGGCTACTGTTTTCAAAGACAATACAGTAGTTTAACAGTTTCCTGTAGCAAGACTAGCACTGCTGCTTTTGCTACTTGGAGACTTACATTTGCTTAATTGCATTTTACTTAATAAATAGACTAACAATTGCTAACACATACTTTTTATTTTCGGTTTCAGCTTGAATTGGTTTGAAAACTTGGGTCTTCGTTGGTTTGCTTTACCTGCTGTGTCCAGTATGATGTTTGACTGTGGTGGACTTCAGTTTACTGCAGCTCCTTTCAATGGATGGTACATGAGTACGGAGATCGGGTGTCGAAATCTCTGTGATACACATCGCTTAAATATGCTAGAGGTAAGTGAAATTATTAAGTCGCTTGATTGCATTTAATTTTTTTATTCTGGCAGAAAATAATTATCTTGGTTTATCAAACATCATAACATTGATACAGTTTTTATAAGTTCTAGATATCAAAATAGCATTATTTTCACTTTCTTTATTTTACTTTCACAAAACACTGAAAATGTTCCATGCAAAGCTATCAAAACACTCAAGATAAATATAATGCATCGTAAAATGTATAGAGTTTCCACTGAACGTGGAATCATGGAAAAGGCTCAAATCTATATCATCTTGGAAAAAAGTAGCTATGATCTGTGAGCGCTCTGCACTCACTTTGTTACAAAGCAACTATACCAAAAATTGCTTATTTTTTGCTGTTTTCTATAAAATTCATGTCGTTTTCGATATATAAAATATATAAAAAATTACTATATCTAGAAGGTACAGAAAAATATCTGAGTTTTAACTTGAAAACGAAGCGCTTGCAGGTCTGTGAACCTGATACCCTGAACTTTTTGCCCTGTATATGTATTCCTTTCCACTTGAGCCTTAAAATAGGAGGCTTTAAAAAACGTTTTCAAATATAAATCATCGCCTGATCTCTTATGTAAGAATTCGACTATGTATATAACATTAACTCTTTTGTTCCTTTAAATATTCTGTCCACGTTGACTGCGTATAACGACATATTTATAGCTGCGGCATGTTAAAGCTATTAGATATTGAGAAAGAACAGTTTAACAAACACCCACGCACTCTCGATAGTAGAGCCCTTCGGCTTTATCCAGCAAATAAGGACTAAAGTATCTGCATTTTAAATGAAAAAACTGCTGTAATTAGTAAGATGGAATCCTATTGACTTTCAAGTTTCAATCAGTTTTATAGATTTTATATTAAAATAGAAACAAAATAAAGAAGAAATAAGAAAAATAATGTTGATACCATTAATAAGAGCCTAGAGAAGCCAAATATATTGGTTAGCATTTTTTTAAATAGCCTGGGTATTTAACTCGCTAAGGATAATACATGAAGTGAGCAACGTTCAACAACATGCTTGCATTTGTTACACAAAAGTCTTGGTACCATGAGATTTGAAAGTACCAGTTTTGAAGATTTTGAAAGATATTCATTGTGATTCTCTTTTCCTAATTATTTCTTCTAATTTAGCAAAAAGCTGCATTTCCACGTTCTTCTTTGGATGACCAATGAAAACATATAAACTTTAAAGTTGTTCCTATTAAAATGTTTCTTCAGGTAAAGATATTGCATCAAAAATACAAATTTTCTATATTTTTAAATATTTTTTCTTCTCGTGTTTATTGTTCTGTATAACTACCTAACCCAAGCTTACAGCTTTCAAGTAATATTAGCTTTGCCTCAATTATCGATAATAGATTGAATAAGCTATAATTTCTCAAGCTTTCTTCGCCTATCAGTAAGACCTCGAAATAATCAGAAAAACTATTTTTTATTTAATTTTAGAAAGCCAATCATACTTTAGCATCGAAAATTCGTTAATAGTTGCACACAGCGATTTTATTGCTACTTTTTCCGTTGCCTACCCTTGAATAGTGATAGCAAAATGTATAAAGATTGTTGATTTTATTATTGGTATAAATTGTTTTTAATAACAAGGAATTGTCAAAATGTTTTACATTATATCCTGGGTCAAAAGTTGACATTAAATTCTTACATTATTTGAATTTTTTATCAATCAATCATCATATAGAAACTTGCTTCCAGAAAATATATTTCATTTTAGTTTATATAAAAGTAGGGCACACTGACAAATTGTCAATTTCTTAGGCGCCTAAAATATTTGTATTATGTTCTGTAAATTCGTTATTGTTATGTATTTTGACGAATGGCTACAAAACGTAAAATATTTGTCTAAGATACTTTTATTAAGGGTAGTGCTTTGATAAAACTTTTAGCAAAGATATAAAAAAGTGCTGTTGTTCAGTTTTTCAAATTAACTGTGGATTTTCCATCGTTAAAAGCCTCCAGAGATAAACGACGATTGCATTGCATTGCATTGCATCTTTAGCGCGCAATTCGTTTATCAGAAATCAAAGTCATTGTATTTTTGCTCTTTGCATGTATTAGAATTAATTTCTATTTTTTACTGCTTATTCTGTTCTCAACAACATAAATCTACCTCGYTTCATTTACACGGTCTGTATCCTGGTGTTTGTTGTGTTTATTTACTTGGCAATCAATTTCWGGATGCGCGTTTCACGCATRACTAGATAAACTAATTTCAAAAATCAACAAAACACATCCTACCATAATTTCATCGGTGTTATCATCATACAGACTTTTCTGCTATCCTGCATTGAATAGATTTGTGTGATTTTTGCCCGCTTACACATTAATGCGTATTGTTSGGCACTATGTGATTTTTTCATCAATAATTCCATTTTTTAACAAATGAGTCCCTTCAACCAGGAAGTTTTAATATTATATTTTCATTTCATGAATTATTTCTTTCATAGAGTTAACTTATTAAGCTACTAGGACTAATTTCGTCGATAAATATTAGATAAGTACATTCTGTAAATTGTAAAAACTTAGACGCAATTTCAGCTCGTTTGTTAATCATTTTAATATCAGTTTTACTGCAGCTTCTAATAACAGACAGAAACAAATTAGCTCAACATTTCAATGCAACCACGATCTTTGTTTTATTTGCAGTTACTGTGATTTTTTATCTTAAAAACGTATTTTTCCTATTTTCTCCTTGCTAAGAGTAGAACCGATTTCAAGTCCAGAAGGGTAATCTCTTAACCCTAATGGCAAGAAACTTAAGAGTACGCAGTATATCAGAAACAATTAGGGGATAAACACCGAAGTCCTTTTTGGCAAAAGAAAATAGATATATAACACTTGTATTAAAATTTTGTGTCTTGAACATGAAACAGTTAAAGAATTGAATATGTTCTGACTATAGTATGCAGAAATTCAATGCAGTTAATACCAACACAGGAACTTTGCAATTTATCAGCAAATTATTTTAGACTTTTATAAAATTGGTTTGAAATTTCGCTTTATGCAGGACTTCATTCAAGCAATAAATGCTTGAATTTTCATCGATGTTGTAATTTGTTTATCCAGCGGAAGGTACCAATATTCTACAAATCGTCCTGAAAAGGTACGAAGTCTAACAAAATCGTTAGGATATATTGCTGTTCCTCTAGCAATGTTACATTTTCTAAACTGCCTTCAAATCAACTTTTTCTTTGCTCACATTTTGCACCCTAATGGATGGACTCCAAATACAGCATTTAGATCGCTTCGGATCTTTTTACTTTCAGCAGTGGAGCTTTAGTTTCACTAGATTTTGACCTAGAGTTGAATCTTCACTAGTTATGTGTTTGCTTCAGGCGACTAAAGCTGATGGTTTTTAAAACTGTTCTACACATCAGCGCTAAAATCAGCAAGCAAATTTCAAAATATGTCGTAAATTTTTTTTGCTTGAATTTATTGCTTCTTTAATCATGCTTTTTTTCAATTAGTATTCTTGTTTCTTATTTGCTTCCTTTGATCAATATTAAATTTTTTTTCCGCTGACGGCAGCAGAAATAAATAGTAGATTAACATGCAATTACAAAGCTAAAAAAAAATTGAAATATTCGTTAATTGTCTTCAAAACCACCAATATGCGACAAATAAACTAATCCCTCAACCAAATAAAAAGTTTTGTTAGTTGTTGTACCAAGACACTCAAGAAATCACCACTTTCCCAACGCAGGTGAATCCGGTTGCTTTTTCAAAATATGAGTTCTATAATAGAACAAATTCACTGCAGGTTTAAGTAAAATCCTTTGTATCATGAAAAGATATTAAAAAAACATAATTTTACTGAACAATTTTGACCAATAATAGCAGAGGAAACAGACACTTTTTCTTAATAAAAGTTAGATCAGAGCGTCTTCTTTGTAGCAAAAAAATGTCGCAGGACCCTTTTAATCGTGTGCCGGACACCGGACACCCTGTGTATCTGCACATTATTATTAAAAATTGTAAAACATTTTGCTTATTAATAACAATTGCGCATGTAAAAAAGTTCATGCATTTTAACTTACCTACCGAATTGGTTCACTGAGAAAATAAATTGCCACTTCGGACTATATCTTGTTAGCTTTAACAAATTTCTGACCGGATCTTTTCATAAATCAACTTGATTCGTAATATCATATTCGTAACTGTTAGATGAAAAATCCTTTTTAACCCACGTGTACTATATTTATTACAGACCATAGCTTTAAACATGGGTCTGGACGTGCGAACTCCCGTAACACTGTGGAAAGATAAGGCGATGATAGAATGCAACTTGGCTGTTCTGCATAGCTTCCAGGAAAAGGGCGTCACCATAGTAGACCACCACACTGCTTCAGAATCATTCATGAAGCACTTGGAGAATGAAGTGAGACTTAGAAATGGATGCCCAGCGGACTGGGTATGGATTGTACCACCGCTCTCTGGTTCTGCAACTCCAGTCTTTCATCAGGAAATGGCTTTGTATTATCTGAAACCTGCTTATGAATACCAAGTGAGTGCATTATGTTTTTAACTATCTAGATGAAAAATTTATTAACTAAACCAGTTCGGTGGTTTTCATTGAATTGACTTACGTAGAACTGAACTGCAACTGAATACCCAAATCAAACATTTTTTACTCACGAATTTGACTTTTAATAATACCTGGTTGTTTGCGAATGCTAATTTCGGTTCCGAAAACGGTTTTCTAAATGAAAGGCATTTTAGTCGGTAATTCGAATTGAATGCACGTAATTTAACCTCAGGCAATTTTGCAGTGTCAATATGAATTAATAGAGCGATAGATGAGTCGGAGGTAAACTTTACGGCCTCTAACTATGCAAAGAAAAATATTGGATATTCCCAGTTTTTTATTTCCGTCTTGAACGTTAGCCTGCAACAATTGCTTTCCAATATCCATTAGCTCATCAATTTCATGTAAAGTAGCAATCGCAAAGAACTGTTTTATAAATTCAATCCGAGGCTTACTGAGATTTATTAATCCTTGTTCAAATATGGACTTGTATAGGTCCCGGAACTTGTGGTGCTGTTCGTTAAGTATGTCCTGTTTTTCAAAAGCATTTTATTCCTAATTAAATCCTTTACGTGCTATTTTCACTTAAAATATTGACTTACAATCCGAT